ATATAGAGGGCCAATAGACATATGAAAAAAATGTTCAATGTCATTTATTATCAAAAAGATGCAAATTAAGGGGTGGGGGAGGATGCCTGGTGGAGGGATTCAATGGGGAGGGAAAAGGGGGACATCTGCAATACTTTCAACAATAAAGAAAAAACAACAACCCAAAACCCTAAGAAACTAGCATTGATACATTATTACCTATGAACGAAAAACTTTATCCAAAAGTTACCAGTTTTCCCGCATTTGTGTATATATATATTTTTTTGTCTTTTCCAGGATCCAGTCAAGGATATCACGTTGCATTTGGTCATCAGGTAGTCTTCGTCCACCCTGGCCTCTGATGTCCCTCACCTTTCCTTGGTTTTCGTGGCCTTGACAGTTTCGAAGATTGCCGGGCAGGCATTCGGCAAACCGTCCCCCAATCTGGGTTTGTCTGATGGGTTTCTCACGGTTAGACTGGAATTACGGCCTTGGGGAGGGGAAGTGCCCTTCTCACCACATCTGTCACTGGTACGCGATGGCATCATCGCTCATCACTGGCCCCGTGACCCCCGATGGCTTGGCTGAGGCGGCGTGTGCCAGGTTTCCCCGCTGCAGTTACTCTAGCTCCCTTTTCAGACTCTCGTTTAGAAGCCTCTGAGTCCAGCTCACGCCCAGGGGCAGGGGGATGAAGGCCAGGCTCCTGCAGGGTCCCCCAAATCTTGTCTCCTATGCTTAGCTCTCTTCCCCAGTCCCCATGCTTCTGGAAGCCGGGGGACAGAGCCCCCGCTGCCCCACCTGCCAGCCCCCTGCCCCTGGCTGTCACCCCTGCAGGCCCTCCATCGCTGCAGCACTGCCCCTGCTCAGCATGTTCTCCCCGCGAGTCTGTGATCCTGCCCGCAGGCCAGGGACGCATCCTCTGCCCCCCAGGGCCTGGGCTTACTGACCCAGCGCTCCGGGGCCCCACGGCTCACACCATTTCTCTTCCTGTTACACGTGCTCCTCAAGGATGCGCCTTGTCCGCTCGGTTTCCGAATTTCTGGAGCCACGCAGCTCATTAAGAGAATTCCTTTGCTCAGGCTGGCAGCCGCTGCAGAAGTGCCTGGACGCCATCTGCTGGCCCTGCAGGCACAGATCTAGGAGGCGCTGCAAAGGGCCTGCGCAGAGTGCGGGCCCGTCTGTCGCCCAGATGTCAGACCCAGAGCCGGGGTGCAGCTGTGCTCAGCCTTGCAACTCCGTGGGGCGGGGGGCAGGGCGTTTTGGGGGAGGAAGTTTCAGACCTGAGTCTTTGAAAGTGAGACCTTGTAGCTACTCCTTTCTCCTTTGCTTGGCTTTTTACGCCTTGGCAGCCTTCTGGCATCATCTCTGACACTCCTTCTCCCAGCTCACCACGGGCTGGCTCCCCTCTGAGACTCGCAGGCCGCTCCCCCTCTCTCCTTTCTCTCCTAAAGGCCACGAGGAATTCCCCCGGAGGTGGGCTGGGCCTGGAGGTCCCAGAGGCCAAGGCGTGGGAGAAAGATCTAGTTAGTCCTTACTCCAGATGATTGCCAGCAGTAAAATCAATTTCCCGTGAAATTAGGTGAAGTTAAAATTTTTGTTCTCCATTCTGCTTTGGTTTTGAAATAAAGTAAGAGGATAGCATGGAAAACAGAATAGAAACCAGAACAATGCAAAGTACATTATTTTAATAAACTGCAGAAGTCAAAACTGAGTTTTCATGTTTTGCATGGCAAGTATCACATTTTTCTAAATTACTGCAGATACTTTAGTTTTCTTTGCCAACACACGGTGTCTCCCTGATGAAGGGAAGTAGAAAAGAGCTATTATTTTGAAATAATGTGTGTTTAAAAAAAGGACAAGCCTGTGCATTAATTGCTAAGTATTATTTAGGAAAGCATTTTTCTTATTGGAATTAGCTAATTATCTTAATTCCCTATGTGGTTTAGCCTTTCTTAACACCAGTGATAAAGTAGTCTGTCAAGAAACCATTGTATTTATGGCAATTTCTTTCTTTCTTTTTTTTTTTTTTAAGCTAGATTAGGCTTTCTGGATACATGTCCGGTAACCACTATGCTTTGTATGATATTCCACTGCCCAGGACCCAGGTGGGACAGGGCAGTGTCACCACAGAAGCCCTGCTCTCGTCTTTCTCTGGCTGCTTATTTCACTTAGCATATGCTCTCCAGGTCCGTCCATGCTATCGCAAAAGGTAAGAGTTCCTTCTTTTTTATGGCCGAGTAGTATTCCATGGTGTAAATGTACCGCAGTTTTTTTACCCAATTACCTACTGATGGGCACCTGGGCTGCTTCCAGATGTTGGGTGTTGTCAATAACACTGTGATGAGCTAATGTCACCCCGATTAATTCAATAAAAATCAAAAACAGAAACAAAACACAATAAAAGGTGAGAAACCTCGGTCTTGGAGAGGTCCATGCCTCACACATGTTTTCTGGCCTGGGGCAGGCTGTGACCTCCTCTGCATCTCCACAGCCGCAGCCAGGGTTTCCAGGCACCAGGTCTTGCATCTGGTTGAAGAGGAGACCGCGCATGCTCGCTGCTGTGTTCGTGTGCCTGGCACAGGGCCTGGCACATAATGTGCCTCTTACCTTACCATCTGAACAAATGGAAATCTGGTCCTACGGCCCATTATATGATTAGTAGACCAGCTGAGGTCCAGAGGGGCAGTGGTTTGTCTGCAGCTTCCCAGAGCGCCCGCGGCAATGCTGGGACCAGGCGCTAGAGCCCGACCCCTCGACCCCTCATACAGAACTCTTTGCATAGCACTCATGCCGCCTTCCTAAAAGACTAGCCCAGCCCTCCCCTTTCTCACCCAATTCCTCTTTCTCCCCATTGCCTCAGAGTCATTTCTACCTGGTTTGAACACTGTGCCGCTTTTCTATTTCCTGTGTAGCAACACAAGCTTAGCAGCTTAAAGGGACGCACATTTGCTGTGTCACAGTCTCTGTGGATCATGAGGTTCGGGCACAGCCTAGGTGGGCCTCTCCGCAGGGTCTCACAGGCTGCCGTGAAGATGTGGGCTGGGCTGTCCCTTCCTGGAGCTCAGGGTACTCTTTCCAGCTCACTGGCTGGGGGCACAGTTCAGTTCCCACCAGTTGTAGGACCAAGGCTTCCTTACTGGCTGGCAACTGGGGGCCAGTGTCAGCATCTAGGGGCTTTCTGCAGTTTCTCACTGTGTGGCAGCTGGACTCTTCCAGGCCGGCAGGAGGCCCCGTCCCTCCTCCAAGACTTTAGGTGATTAGGTCGGGCCCACCCAGGATGATCTCCTTTTCCATGAACTCAAACTTCCACGATTTGGGATCTGGGTCACATCTGGATCCTCTTTGCCATGTCACGTAAGCACAGACGTGCCATCCCATTTCATTCCCAGCTCCATTGCAGCGCGAGGATTACTCAGGGTGGGAGTCTTGGGGCCACCTTAGAACTTAGTCTTCCACAAACACTTCTGTGTTGAGCTGGGCCCAGGGATGTTTGAATCTGGACCATACATGAAGCACTTTCCCTATATTTCTTGATAGCTGTGCTGGTTCCCCCCCCCC